CTAGCTCACAGCAACCTCAGACTCCTGGGCTCAAGCAATCCTCCTGCCTCAGCCTCCCGAGTAGCTGGGACTACAGGCATGTATCACCAAACCTGGCTAAATTTTCTTTCTGTTTTTAGTAGAGATGGGTCTCACTCAGGCTGGTCTCAAACTCCTGACCTCAAGCAAATCCTCCTGCATCTGCTTCCCAGAGTGCTAGGATTATAGGCCTGAGCCATTGTGCCTGGCCAGCAAAGGAAATTATTGAGGAGCTTAATGAGAGTCTTTAAAATTCAATCTCGCACAAAAGTCACCATCTTAAAGCATTAAGGGCAGGCGGGAATATATTAGCAACTGCCCCCAATTCTTGTTCAAGGGAATTTCCCCTTCTTTATTGTACCTCCAACTTGGCAGGAGGGTGACACCTGGGCTCACGGGAGCTTAGGGAGGTTCAGGGGAAGCACAGTCACCACCTCGGCAGCCCCTTCCTGACGTGGGGCCAGGGCAATGGAGGAGAGGCCGGGGGTGCTAACTACAGCTCAGGCGGCGGGAGACGTCCTCAGAAGGCTGTGTTCTCAGATTCGGCCTGGGGCCCAAAGAGCTGCTCAGCAACGACTTTGCCGTCATACTTGGGCAGGGTGCCCCCAAAGTCACAGGGCAGGATGTTCTCGTCAATCTCCTGGAAGAAGTCAGAGAGGTCATCCCCATGGACAAAGACCTGCAGGGGCAAGGGAGACAGAGCTGAGCAGGAGGTGCTCTAGGGATGAGGGAGGAGGTAGACAGGAGGACAGTTCAGGACCACAGTACAGAGCGTGAGGACGGCTCCGGTGAGGATCCCACCCTCAGCCCTCTTGTCCCACGAGCTCCCTCCCGCCCCAGCCCCACATCTGCTCACTGACTCACTCCCAGAGGACTGCCCCGGGCAGGCCGTGCACTCACCCTCTGGAGCAGCTTGCTCTTCAAGAAGGGCTTGACCACGTTGTAGGTCGTGGTGAAGTACCACGGCTGGTAGATGAAGTGGATGGCTTTGAACCGGGCCGGGAAGGAATCCTGCAGCGACAGAGAGTGACCCCCATCCCATGGCCCCAGTGTCCTCAGAGGTTCCCACTCATTCCCCACGGCCTGTCCCCATGGCATAGGACACCCTTGGCCAGCAGCACCTGTTCTCCCCGGAGCAGAACCCACTAAAGGATGCAGCCCTGGGCCAGCGGCTAGGGAGCCCTGGGTTCGCTGTGGCTCCAAACTGCAGGGAGGAAGCCCCAGGAGTCGTACAGCCCAACCCCCTCCCTGCTGGTGCAAAACACACTGGAATCAGGTAAAGTAAAGAAATGAAATGATAGCCTTGCTTGGTTTTTTAGTGACTGAGTTTTTTCAAACCCACTTACCTGCTGAATGTACTGCAGACTCTTATAGACCATAGAGACACTGTGATCAAGCCTCATTGTCCTCAGCCCCTCTCCCGACCCCCACCACCCACCCCTCCGTTCCCAGATACACACAGAGCGGATCTAAGGTAGCTCTAAGAAGGGACTCCTGGCATGTCGGCATGTATAGAAATGAGTTGTCAGGAAGGTTAGTTCTATCTCTTTCTCAGGGTAGATCCACTTTCAAAGAGAGGCAGCGTGACCTATGTGGACAGAGGGCATGGGATTCCTGGTCAGAAGATACACATTCAAGTCTGGTCTCTGCCACTTGATTGCCATGTGACCTTGAGAAATCATGTAAATCTCTGAGCCTCAGTTTGCAGGTTTATAAGATGAAGCAGGGAGAGAATGCTTCTGAGGAGTCAATGAAAAACATGAATGTGAACACTGGACACAGTGTTGGTCACCACGCAGGCGTTTTGGGTTGGGACTGTGCTTTGTCACTGCCCTTTATGGCACTAGGTGATTGACTTCTCAGGTCCCTGCCAGCACCATGAAACCAAGAACGCAGGGCTCTGGGGAACGGGCCCCAGGGCCTCACCTGGAGCATGTCCACCATCTTCCTGAGGTCCGAGGGCCGGAGCGCGGCGGCCTGCTGCATGGTGAAGCCCTTGAAGTTCTCGATGATGCAGAAGCCGTTGATCTGCGTTTCCTCGTTCTCCAGAAGCTTCTCCAGGATGAAGCAGTAGGCCTGCAAGATCTTAGGAACAGGGATCAGGCCATAAAATCCAACCCGCAAAGGTAACTGTGGCTCAGGTCCCCAGGGGAGAGCTAATCGCTAAATTCTTTACTAGAGGTCATTTGCCACAGGGTTTATCCATCCGGGCATCCTGCCTCTGTGAATGTACACCAAGAACACAACCTTGAAGGTCACGTCCATGGCTACATGCCGGAGTGCTTAGCCCAGTACTCTTATAAGAATAGAAACATTGGAAACAACCCAAATATTCAACAATAAGGGACTGGTGAAATTATGCTACATTTATGCTGTGGAATACTCTGGAGCAATTTTAAAATGATACAGAGGGCGGGCGTGAGGGCTCATACTTATAATCCTAGCACTTTGGGAGGCCAAGGCGGGAGGATCGCTTGAGCTCAGGAGTTCAAGACCAGCCTGAGCAAGAGCGAGACCCCATCTCTACTAAATATAG